AAAAAAAAAATCTGGTACAATAATTTTTTAAAAAATATGTTAGAGTAGATACATAAGAGATGAGATTTTTTAATTTTTTTTAAAAATCAGCCGACTTTTTTTATAAACCTGATTCCAAGAAAATTAGCCGATTTAGTTCCCTATTATGAATTGTTGGACAATTACTATCTTTTAGGAAAGAGAATAATAAATATGTCTCCAATAAAAAAGCCGAGTTAGTTCCATATTCAAAATTGTTGGACAATTACTACCTTTTAGGACTCTTTTAATGCAATTGGCGGGTGAATTTATTATCTACACAATTGGCGGGTAAATATGGCGGGAAACCTTAAAAAAGGTTATTCTTTTAATATAATTATAGATATACGAGACAAACTGATTGCCTAGTATAGAGTAATGCTCCCCTACCCATGGTGGACACGTGTTAATATGCCCACCGCTTACGTGGCATGCACACATTGGTGATGTTAATATGTTTAAAAAATACATCACCAATGTATGCATGACACATAAGCGGTGGGCATATTAACATGTGCCCTTCGTGGTAGGGGAGCATTCCTCCCCTAGTATATTGATTCATACACTTCTTACATGTGAAACACCTATTACATCCTTATTTTGAAAACGTCATTTTCATGTTCTATGATTAAAATCACTATAATAATAATAATTATTATCATTAATCAAGCATGATTCATTTAATTAAGTTAAGCATATTTATCATTTAAATAAATTTAACCAATTAAGTTACCATCAGTATTAACATTATTATTTGATATGGGATACCATATCTAGTAGAATAAATTTAGTAAACCGGTCGACCGGATCAAGAGAGTCGGCTGGTCGATCAGGACAGTGGGAAGGCTGACGGTGGTCAAACATTGTCAAGGGAGAACCTGGAGTTTGTGTGGTTTGTGAATATCAAAAAAAATGACTTAAGGAGAATGAAGAAAACAAAACAAAAAAAAAAGTCGAGGCCGTAATAGTTACGTTCTCCTTAAGAGAAATTGTCCCGTAAAATACCCACGGTTAACGGCAAATGCCTCCAAGATACAACGACTTTCGACTTGTATATAGCGGTACTTCAAATATACAAGCCTTCAACGAACACTACTATTGTTTGGAGCTCTCCTGTCTCGATGAAAAAATCATAGACCACATTATGCTATATGATCTTTGAAAATAATGCAAGAGCTCTCTAATTTTGATGTTATGTATGATTTCATGTATGTGAGTATTTATAGATGTAGGAAAACACCTCCAAAAGGTTTAACTGTCAAAAGACACCTTTTGGGACGTGTCCGAACGAGAACGGATGCATCTAGTGGCCAGAAGATACCTTATGGTCACCAACGGTTGTGACCCTTTGATTTCCGCAGTCGTCCGTGCACCGCGTGCTCGTACGAGCTTATATGGGCTCGAAATCGAGTTCCGTTTTTTCCTACTTATCCCCAACGAACCCTTCTACAATTCTAGCATATACAATGCATAACTATGGCTCATTTAGTTTGTTCAAAAATAGAATGTTTGTGAACCCTACAACCTTTGAGTTATTTAAACTCAATTAATTAACATATAACAATTAGAATTAATTTCTCATTCACCTTAAAAAGGTTTTGAGAATTTCTTAAGTCTTCTACTTACAAAAAATAGAATCGTTAAATCGGTACAAAACCAATTTTATCTTACAATCCCCCACATGAATGAAACTAATGCATGTATACAATAATTGAGAGTTCCAGTGAACCATCATTGCATCAGGATAGATAGCTTGTGGCTTTGAATCTTTATTAGTGAAATACTATCGGATACACTAGCCGGTTAGTAGCACGATGCTTTGAACTTACCGGATGTTTGTGTGCACCAAGATAATAAGACTCACACAATAACAGCTCTAAAAATTTCTTGTTCTCACGTTGTTTCCATTTCGGCCCTGGACCATATCTCGGTTTAGTAAGTGTTCGATCGAAGCGACCTATTTACTTCTCACTTATAAAGGTGATTCTTCTAGAAAGAGTATCCTGTCTTACTCCACCCGTAGGTATAGGAATCATTAAAAGTCCTCGACTTAACCTCACAACTTAGGCAGATTTTAACACTTGACGATTCTTGAAATGAGCAGAATTTTTTCAAGTGTTTCACTGAACTGTCAAAACTTAGTTATCCCATTGAACCAAGGTTTCGGGATCTCCAATTCTCATGGTTGGGTTACCGCTAAGACCGTTCATTTGTTGTGGATTTTATTAAGCTCATTCCTCTAACCAGTTTGTACAATTTATCTCGTTTCATGCTTTCTGTAAATGGATCCGTTAGGTTAATCTTTGACTTCACATAGTCAACCGATATAACCCCCACACGAGATAATTTTCTTATGAAATTAAGTCACCGACGTCTATGTCTAGACTTACTATTGTACAAACTACTTGGTACTCTTTCAATTTCTGATTGATAAATAATCATCACCATGAGCGCAATTTATTCCACCTAGGAATATATTTTAAAAAATTTCTAAGCCATTAGATTTTTCCACACCTTTTGTCCAAATTTATAAACTCGAACTTCATTGTGGATCTAGTTTTATACTTAGATTATTTTCATGACACTACTCTACCCACCTAAAGTGAACACTTAGTCACTTTTAGTCTTAGAGTTGTTCATGTCTAATACTCGATTCAACGTGATCAAAATTCATCGCTCGAGTTACTCGTGAACATCTTCGTTTTCTCACTAAAATGAAACATTGGGGCGAATACTATCCAAAAAGTACCTCAAGCCTCCAATTATTCAGCATACTTTTGTTCTGAGAAACTAATTATTCTTGAATTCTTAACTAAGTGTAGAGTCAATTTTACATACACTTTAGATTGAGGTTTTATCGAACACATCGAACCTCTTCAACATACATTTGACATGGTGAGATAGTGGCAAACACTTGCTTCCGATCTATTAGGAACTTAATCTCCAGAATTATATCGAAATTTGTCGAAATTTAGATGTCAAAGTTTATCTTCTTGGTATTCATGAACACATCATGATTATATTCCAAGATCATCATATTGTCTACATAGACATATTTTGTCATTCAATGAATTTGAAATCATTTGACAAAATTATTTGAACAAATTTTTCATGTCATAAATTAGGCATTTCTACCTCCCCACATTTCAAGGTATATGTACGAATGATTTTGCTCTTTTTATAAGTCAAACGGAGTTTCGTATCTACCTTCCTGTGGTGCTTTCCATGCCCAAACACCCTCACATTTTAAGATATAGATACGAATGCTTTTGCTATTTTTATAACTCAAACAGAGTTTCGTATCTACCTTCGTGTGGTGCTTGCAATTTTGTCGAAATAATTGCTTCTCACATAAGCATTTAGATTAATAAGAAATTGTCACCTACTCATGAGTGATTATTTCTTTTAACTTTTTCATTGAATATCAACATTATCATTATGAATCAAAGCTACAAAAGCTTTACGCCAATACTTTGTGCATTCTTATAATATATTTCCTACTCGAGTCTACACAATTTCTTAAATCACATTTACAGATATGACTTATCTCGAGAGGACTAGTGAATTAGGCAACCGTTTATTATGCTTTTGCCACTTTTCATTTTAACACATTTTCATATTTGTTCTATAAATCAATTCTAGATTCACCAACTTTTAGTGTTAAAATTCACAAGTACTAATTTATCATGCCACAAATTAGAACACTCTATAAATAAGACCAACTTATTTATTTTTTTCGTCAATCAACAGATTACAATTTTACAATAATTATAATATGACCTTTATTAAGGTCTCCTTATGCTAAGAATACATCATATTTCGACATAACATATTTGTCGATGATCACAAACTACTCTAAATTCGGCCTTACTCAATTAATGGTCCAAAAACTAGATTCTTATAGATGTCTTGGGCATGAAGAACATCCTCGATATCCAATATTAATTCTTAGCACACTCCCTTGTCGGTTCCTCCAACACTTAAAGTCGAAGAATTACATAAATACTCTCTTCCTTAGTTACAGTTATAGGACAACATTTATAAGCGCCTATGGGTCAAGTGGCTCTTGTTCTTATCCGCTATAAACGTGGAACTTTAATCAAGTATGTACTCAAACCACGACAGAAAGATCGAGCTCTGACAAGTATTATCTTGTCCTCGACAATTTTCACTATCCTTTACCACTTTTCAGAAGTTAGTAATGTTCGACAAGGTACTTCACCTCCAAGGAATTAAATAACTCCTTGGCCATCTTAATTTGACTATACACATTATATAATGTGTCTTCTAGTCCGTTTATTATGATATTTCTACACAAGAAATCACTATGACGCCATGCATCCACTACAAGAAATTTTGCAGAAGCACGACGAAAAAATTCGTCATGTAAGCCTTGTTTTTTGTCACAAAAGTACAATGATGACGAAATTTTTTCGTCACAGCGAACGTCACTGTAGCCGCGTCATACTAGGTATAGGTGACAAATTTCGAATTTGTGACCAAATATTTATCTTTTAATGACGTTTATAAGTTTCGTCATGATATTTCGTCACTTTTCGTGACAATAATTTCGTCACGTTTATTATGGAAATTTTGTCACATAAATGATTATTTCGTCATAAAAAAACAAGTTTTAGATGACAAAAACTTAAATTTGTCATCGAAGTATTATTGTTGAATGTTTAGTGACGAATTTTAATTAATTTATCGAATTTATAAAAATTCAGTGACGAATATATTTGTGGCATTTTCGTTAAAATAATCGTCATATTTCATAGAATTCGTCATGAAAGAGTTGTTTTATAATTACAAAATATTGGTCGTCACAAAAATATATTTTAAATATGACGATACCAAAAGTGTCACAAAAAATATAAGTAGTGATGAAATATTTATCGTCTCAAAAAATATACAACAACGACGAATTCTTTTGTCGTAAATTATTATCTCTATGATTACAAAAAAAAAAGATTGTCATCAAAAGATTGAGATATAATGACAACATAAGTTGTCATGAATAGGTAAATATTTAGCGACAAAATTTATTGTCATTTTAACATTTCATATAGTGACAAATCCAAACAAATACATCACTATTACATGTTGTCAAAAAAGTATTTTAAATGACAATTTAAAATTGACACTATTACAAATATAATAATTGTCATTAATTGCAAATATTTAGTGATAAATTTATTTGTTATGAAATATATAATACAGTGACAAAACTATCGTCACTCCAAACAATTGTCATGAAAAAGAAAATACAGTGACAATTTATAAATAACATATGATGATAATATGTTGCAGATGATAAATTAAAAAACGACAATAATAATAATTTTGCTAATTAAAAACTTCAATAAACGAACTAACAATCTCAAAATGTTCAAAAAAAAAAAAAAATAATAATAATAACAAAGCTAACAATCTCAGATTATGTTCCCATTGGCAGCCATAAAAGCCATAAGTTTGTCTACTTTTGCATTCAAATCACTAACTTGATCCTTAAGCTCAATCACTTCCGATTCTTTCTCACGCAGCTTTTCTTGTGTCTCTAGAAGCTCCTTCTGACCATTCGAGTCATATGCCTTGCGTCTACTTGGCGGCCTCGGGACATATCCATAACCTTTTATATATCCAGCTCCATGGCCAAGAACCTCAAGAAGTATATCTTGTGCACTCTTCTCAACGCCTTGTTCAGAATATTTTTCTCTCCTTGATATCATCAAGTCCTGACAAATACCAATAAAAACTATATAATCATATTATTATTCATTTCAACAATTAGAATAAGAGATTGTGCATGCAACTTACCCAGTTTTTTTCTGCCTCTTTTGTTGACCAACCACCTTTTTCCTTATAATGCGTACGCTTATAAAGCTCAATCATATCTAGTGGTCCTCCATTCATCTCCTTCTCAGACTATAAGAATTTTTAACCGTAAGCATAAAATAAGCATAAAAAGTTTAAATTCAAAACGAAAAAAAAAACTATTGATCATAAATAAATTAATATATTCAACATAATCTTACTATTTCATGTCGAAGAACACTAAAAGGTGTTCGGCCTGAAACATGTGGAGCATGCAACATTTGTCGATTCGTCACATTAATCAAACTTTGTCAAATCATAAGTAATGTGGTTGGAGAAAACAAAATATATGAAAACTACAAATTTAATATGCAAAATAGAAGAACAATGTTAATAATACATTAACTTGAATTTAGGCGAGGCAAAAAGCTCACAGATATCTTCCCAATTTTCTTGACTAGCACAAAAAGAGGGCTTGTTATTCTTAGCTTCTTCATGGGACGAATATTTCTTGTAATTTTTATGCAGTCTGTAACGTTTTTGGCGTGAACTAGCTTGGACTCTATCAATCACGCAACGTTTTACACCCGGATCATCTAAATTAATATCCATGTGGATCTACACAAACAAAAATGAGATTATTTAAGGTGATATAAAAAATGTATTCATGCGACTTGAAAAGTGTTTCTAATTTTTACCTTTATATGATCAATACCAGGTTGAAGATCTTTTTCTTCATCAACATCTTTCCACCTTACTGGCACCGGAAGTACATCTCTGGTGACTACACCAATCTGACTAGAAAACTTTGAAGACTCGTCTCTACTTTTAGGTCTTCCGATCGATGGATCCACAGTTACCTTCATTTTTTCCCACAAGCCTGGAATGCCTTCATAATACCTTTGCCCATGGTTTGTCCACGTCTTTTCTTAATGGTGGTATGGAAGCTGCATATTCACCACTCAATTATTTTAATTAGTCAAAAGCATCATACTCATAAGATATAAAAAAATTTAAAAATATAATCGAATGTCTGATCTCTTAGCCACAAATAGGTAGCACAACAAAATTGATTGAACTAATAAATGATAAGCAATGTATAGTGTTAATGAATCATGCTCTGTTAGAATTTTTCAAATAAAGAAAAAGACAAGAAAAAAAGATATATACAGAAAAGTTAATTTTTCTATCCAGATAATGAATGTAAAAAAAATGGTTGGAAGGCTTGGATAGGTAACATATTTTGATATCAAGCACATAGGCTTGGATAGGTCGATGAGGCTCGACTTCCTCAGAAACCTACATATTAGGGTTTAATTATTATTATTGATTTTGACTGGGTTAATTAACAAGCAGATAGAACCCACAAGGCAACAATTTAAGGCACATAAGCACAAACAAGGCAAACAACTCTCTTTAAACTACAACAAAATTTCAAGGCCTTATGAACTGAGCATAAATCTCTGAAATATTACATATTTTCAGCATGGAAAACTCGACAATTAAGGTTTAGCAAGACGAAATAATAATCATGGCATAACACACATATTATGTCTCGGTTTTCTTAACACTTACACGGCTAAAGAAAAATAACACCAAAAATAAAATGCCTCAACAACACAACCTGTTTCTCATGCTTGCTCAACAAAAATCATGGGCAATAATAACTGAGATTAAAGTTCTATAATTTTTGCTCAATTCAACATATCCAATAATTCAGTAGAGCTCATTTGACATGAAAACACATGGTTCAAAAATTCTTCAACCTAAAAGCATGCACACACATATACAAATGAACTTTCTTTTTTTCAATCAGCTACTTATATGCCAAGGGCTTTATATCTGATATTAAAGGCACTAAAGATTCTTCAATTTCAGCATGAAATAATCTCATAATGTTCAGCATAACAATCATGTAATCAATTCGACTAACGAGCATGTAAAGCAAGTCTCATTTCTTCTTCTTTTTCCACAAACTCCTCTCACATGCTTAAAGGCCTTGAAGGTTGGAATTAAAGCTCTAAGAATACATTACTTTCAGCAAGTTAAACATAACACAAAGTACTCAACAAAGAGACAAACAACACAAAGAAATGCACTTCAATTTCTATCATCATTTTTTTTTTTAAAAAAATAAACACAACTCACTTAGGGCCATTAAAGCTGAATTTATCTCTGAAAATAGGGCGAAATACAACATGATAAACATCCAAGAATTCACATGTCAAGCTCAGCAAATAAAGGCAGCATACGATTAAAAAAAACAAAGCAAAATCAACATAAATTCTACAAGTGTCAGAAGAATAGTGAAATAAAAAGAAAAATAAAAAGATCAACATAAATTCTACAAGCAAAATCAACATAAATTCAAAAGGAAACATATTGTACTGCCTATCAATTCTTGAGCTAATATTTAAAAGAATATGAAATAAAAAGATCATAGGGAAGAAGAAATTGATATATAATATTAAAAAAAAAAACATAAAAGTCTAATCACAGTAAATGAAACAACACAACACAGTTCATGAAACAACACAACACACAGTTAATGAAACAACACAACAACACAATAAAATTTTAGAGTATTAGCTATGTACCAATGATATCTTCCTGTGATTGAGAATTTTGACTTCCCTGATGTGATGGAGGATTGGGAGTGCTTTTATTTTGCTGAGTACAATCAGGAGTCATCTCGTTCTATTGAGTTTGAGGAGATTGGATACTTGGAATAAAAGTACTCTCCTTTTGCTGAGTTTGAGGAGATTGAACATTTGGCAGGTTGCCCTCAAACGTGGGATTTGCAGTTTTGGTTCCTATAGACGAACCATCGGTTAATGTCAATCCTTTGTTCACTTTGTCTGATCCCATATTAGTCTTCTCGGATTGCCGTTTATTACCCCTTGCTAAACTTCCTGTCTTTGTCATGTGATCTATGAGACTCTGCCGAGAATTCGATATGATTCTTGTTCTTGAATTCTGAACTAATTCAGGAGCCATTTGAAACCTTTTGTATCAGGCAAAAAAAAAAAAAA